TCAAGATATAATTAAGGTGGTACTAACCTAGAGTACAACTTATACGAATGTGTCATTACGGATGATTATTATTCAATTATTTTTCATTGTAAGGAAAGAGAAAAATATCGAGAAACTAATAATAACGATAATGATGATAATTAGCTTTAATAATTAGACAACAACTAGAGAGGACATGTTAAGAGTTTGGTATGTTTAGTTATTAGAGTTCCGTAAGGTAAATATCGAAATAAATATTTTACGAATAAAAGTCAATTTTGACGGTTTCATAGCTACCGCAGAACAAACAGGAATAACTAGGGTCGTACTCACCCAGCATACAACATATCATCGGTATTTTGAACATTTTGCAGGATTCACTTATATTTGATTCACACCGCGTGAGAGTTGCGGATTTGAGGCATCCTCACAAAAAGCCTTTCGTACGAGTTAGACTTTAATGCAAATCATGATCTCTGAACACATGTTCATGGCATTTTTTTCTGTCATAGACGGACCAATGGACAAAAAGCCACTTGCACCTGATGTGGAGCATTGTTTTTCTAATACAATCGGAAAACTTCACTGCATTAAAATACTTTTTGTAGTTCAAGTGATGTAGAAGAAGCAGCTAAAAAATATTTGATGGTAAAAACGGTAATTTCTTTATGGACTCTGTTAAATAAAAGTTGGCTTAAACAAAATTCTGTTTTATCAACGGGCAGCTTAAGCTAGTATGCCATCTGTTCGTTATGTATAAATAGAAATTATTGTTATTTATTCATCTCGCCTATGACATGCTAATTACTTCGTATGCCTTTAAAACAATTGTGGCTAACGGCCAAAGTTTAGTGTTCAGCCTACAAAACAACTCTCTCCTAGAAAAGCGTTATGCAGACCATCACTTTTCTGTCTAAATGTTTGAATTCCAACAATTCAGAACGAGCGGTGAGTCAAAAGCTCTTAGTGCGAGACGTTTTTGGGTCATAGTGATGTGCTCTGTGGGCGAGACATTCTACTCTCCCAGTATCTCTCCACGCTCATGGAATAATTTATTATTTATTCTGGAATATTCGCTCGTCTTAGCTGCGATATATTAGGTCAATCGAAGCTTGAAGCGTTTTGACCAATCGCATTTGAGCAGTGTTTAGAGGAAAGTGCTTATTTACTTCAGAATAATTCTTATTTTAACTTCTTCCGTCATAATCGCAAGCTTCGTCATCCATGTTTATTTATAAATGGGTATGACGTAAATTAGATTATTATAAACTGTTAAGCACATCTACATAATGGACTCCTTCTCTCCCTCATTGAAATTCCTCTGCAATGCTAAGTTTCACTGTAATGATATTTGAAAACCAGGCCCATCGAAATATTCTGCATTTCTATCGCTAAGCTTTTTCCTTTAAATTGTATACCCTGTGTAAAAGTTCTTTAATCGTTGTTTAATAATGTGTGCCGAATAGTTTATAATCTCTTGGTATATGCCATTTAAGGCTAACATTGCGCCAATTCAATTCCAAATTAATCGATGTGTTTTCGATTTAAAACGACACTCCTTATTTTAGGAATGCGAAAAAAATGGGTGCATGTAACTGATCCAAAAAAAGATCCAGTCATAAGGGGCTTTTTCCTGTTCTTTCTAAAGAAGTTGTTTACTTATTCAAACATTTACGTATCGATCCATTCATTTATTAAGCAACAGCTTTGAATGTCAGCGTTAGCTGCTAAGACTATTAGTATTATTTTTAACAGTACAATTTAAAAGACAAAAAGAGCATCATTTATCAACAGACCCAATTAATTTATTAAACAACTTGTAATATTCTTTCCAAGGAGCGACTCTTAAAGAAGTAGAATAATTATCCTTAAAGAGACAACCACAAACTATTTCTTTGCTCACCACTGACACAATCTCGAAGTTGTCTCCAAAGTAACTCGAGATTAACAATCTTCCACGGTTGCTCTCTCTCGGTATAGCTTTCTGAAAAGTCAGTCCCTCCCGACAACAATTACTACTGCTGCACGACTGTGTCCTTATGTACAAAGTATTCTTGCAAATTCCGGACGCTTACAACACAACGATATTGGTAGTGTTACATCATAACTATTTAACCTCATAAAATACTCCAGAAGGTCCCTTGGTATGCATTTTTGCATGACTGGGCATTCTCGAAATTTCTAGAAACCAATAGTTTAACTCATTATTCATAGCTTATTATTTAAAGTAATAACAGTGTTTGGTGAGAAGTTTGTAAACTCAATGAGTGAAACATCGAATATGAAATAATCATGCAGTAAGCGCAGAAATTTAGCGCGCAAGAATCGAAAGATAAATACATTCAATTAAAGCTGCGTGCTAGAGTGCTTCTTAAAGAAAGACAATTCGTGATATCTTGGCTTAAATTCCCGCCTTGTCTGTGGTGGACTGTGGTCTTACTCGAAGGAAAGTCATCAAGATACTGAGCTATTAGAAATTTGAATTTATAGATTTGTTTATTTCGATGAATCTTGCCTTCAAGTATATTATCGCCCAGAAAATAAACTTGTTATCGTAAAGAAGATAGATTACAATTACAGTTAGTTGAGTGCTTAAACAATTATGAAAAGAAAAACCTCTTTTTAGCTGCAGATCGCAAGTCAGATCGATCGTAACCGACTTTATGCTGTTAACTAAGTGATTGCAATAAGTAATTGACTGTCATTTCCGGTTGGCTGGATCCAGTTATTTAAGTTAGGTGCGATTTCGATTAAAACTGAGCACAAGACTGCAATTTAACTGCCCATACATCCCCAACCTCACTTGGATGGACCTGTGAGCTCTTCCTTGTGGAGTTGCTCTTTATAGAAGATCGAAAAACGATGTTCATCTTTCTTTTGAACCGCTCTCTGATCTGCAGATAGACGAGCGACGCGAAACACATTCCTAGCACTAGTACTCGGATATCTATCGAAACACTAAAACTTGATGATATGGAGTTAACAATTAGTTTGTTTATTTTTCTTACCTGAGTGTTTCGCATGCAGTGTAGAGAGAAAATCAGGAAACCCTGCAGCATAAACATGATTTCAAGATCATTAATTTTTACAATATGCAAACAAATTAGACAAAATACCTATTAAGATTTCCAAGAGGAAAGAGAATTGCATGTCTTATAATTAAAAAAGAAGTCTGTCTTCTCTTGCATAGTTAACAAAATTGTTTTTAAACTTCCAAAAAATATCATGTGACCATCGTAATGGTGTTTCACTTGGTTAGAAAGTAAAATAATGATAGAGACTGAATAATTTTGACAGTTACCATCGAACACTGACCTGAGCAGAGTTGAGTATGGTGAAGATGTAAACGAAAGCTTTATGTACAGGCGAGAGGAGACCGAATAGCCACGTGACACCCAGGAGGGGAATCATCACCACGCATGTTTCGATGCCCATTCTAGGAGTTAAAAGAAAACATTCATTTATTTTCCTTTGACAATGAATTTTCATTTTTAGATATCTTAAGGCCTTACTGATTAAGGAATGAGGAAGTTAGGCGAATAGAGCCTCACAGGAGGACTGGCTGCCTCTTCCACTATTTTGTTTTAGTTTTATGTTGTGGATCTTACTGTATTTGCTGAAAATGGTTGTCTTCCTCAGTTGGCTGCAACAAATTGGTCATCTCCTTTATAACTCGTACGAGTATCAAGGTGTTGAGCTCAAGAATACAATTGGAATAAATTGATTATTTAGATATGCTTATCGAATAGCCAAAGCAGGAGAGGATCCTTGCCAGAGACGTTGGTAACAAGCGCGGGATGAAGAGTAATTTACAGGGAATAGAAATCCCAACCGGGGAGCTTTGATTATCTGATAAAGTGCGAAAGAAATCGCGAACTTAAGTGTCTAAACTGAATGAAATTTTTCAATCTACTTCTCTTACTGCCCCTTTCATCTTGTTCAATGTTTTTTTATGAATTATTTGTGCGCGAAAAACATATCTTGGTATATCAATGTGAAACAGTAAGAGAACATTAATAAAGAAGGGGAAGAATCTTTTTTCTCATACTATGTAGTTAAAGTTAGAGAATTTATGTAGTTTTTGTATTTGAGTTTTTGAATATCAATTAGTTCCTCGTTGAGCTGACACCTCCCCGCCCCTACACTTCCTTCTCCCTCTCCCACCTGAACAGACTTAGAAAAAACGTAAATTAAATGTGAATGCAAGTTATCATAAATGTCCAACTGGAGATACGCAGTTAACCTTATAAAGTTTTTACCGAAAAGTTTGTCGGAAAAAAAGAGCAAAAATAGAAAGTGCACACAACAATCTCAAAAGACTATCTGAGTAATCAATACGGACATAAAAAGTAAAGATACTTTATACACTGAAACTCTATTCCCAGTTTGAAGAAGAATCTACGAAATTAATTATGCTGGTTTGCTTTCCTTGTCAATTAGTTTTCATCTATCACTTTGATAAAGTACTTTTACTGTAGTACAACACCTCAACCCCTCAACTCCCAAGATCTCATTAGTGATTCTTGTTACTGTCTGCCATACAGTTCTTGTGATGTTAGTTTGGAGAACTTGGTATTGGATCAATTTAAAATCATGATCCCCTAATTGATATTTTACTTTATTCTCATCTGACCTGTCTGCCTGATATTGTATTGATATTGTAAGGAGAAATTCTGTACAGTAAATGGTTTGAACCCGGGGTAACATGTAATAATGTAGTTTGATCGTCCGGGTGAGTGTAGTCCTGAGAAGGACTGCTGTCGGTAGTGGTGACTGATGTTTCGACAACCTGAGGTAAGCCCTGACGACAACTCGCTACGGACAGCAATTTACAGGAAACCGACACATACCGACAGATTACTGGACGAGTCATTCTACAACCCGACATCACACAAAGCCACAACTATCAGGACTCTCACGCGACGAGCGCAACTAGTATGCAACACGACAGACAGCTTCTGCATTAACCTAGTCTATAGAACGACATACAGCAAAACAGCAATTCATGGAGAATATTGGATTATGGCTTGAGTGTAACGCCATAACGCCACTTTATTAAAGCAGATACTAAGAACGTCTACAAAAAGAGAGACTGAAAATATAAACTAGAGAAAGCCGTGCCGGGGGGGCAAACCCAGTGTGAAAAACGGATAGGAAATCTGGAGCGGGCCAGGTACGACTTAGTCCCCCGCCGAGACTGCTAATTAAATAATTTATCGTAAGCAAACGAAATCCGAAACTAAAGAGCAAGAGATCGAGCAACTTTTAAGCGATCGTTAACAGTGTCCTTAATGTATCTCTTCTTTGAAATGGCACATTTCCAGCCGGCGTGCGTGTCCAGCAGATCAGCAGAAATACTCCTACACGCAGGATTTGAAGCGGCGCAGACTTGATACTATGCGTGCCGTAACTAGCTATGTCATCTACAAATGGCTTAACGTATTTCCTAAATTCCTCTCTAAGCGTCGTGTATGAACGCCTTTAGTAGCATGAAAATACTCCTTAGACTTAGATTTAACAATTCGTCTGACGAGGGGGAGGATGACTCAGTTGATGAAGGAAAAAGCTTGATTAACGTCTCGGTAGTGGAAACTGGACAAGTAGCCTTATGAGACCTTGCTAGGAGGGATGTATGCCCCTCCCTATACTGATCATTCTTGCGTTTCGGGATGAAAACTGACACGTATTCACTGCAAATAGAGACATCTTTAACAGACAAAGTACGAATTTCGCCCATACGGTAAAACCCAACGAAGCCAACCATGAGAATGAAAAGAAAACGAGTAACAGCGACGGATAAAGGCTCTTTGGGCTGAACTGGACGTGCAAGTTTCCTTCTAGCGCCCTTCTAAGGATGACTTAACAAGGGGGTGACTAGTACGGCATTCTACAATCCTGGCCAGACTATGAGCCCACTTAATGCCGTAAAGAACTGACTCTGTAGAAGATATCCCCGTATTATTGCTAACTGAAATTACAGTAAGCTCGCTAATAAAGAGGGCGACATGCAGAGGCTTTGCTGGAATAACTTGAACGCCAGTCTTAGGAGCTGTCCATTGACGCCACTTCAGTCAGCCAGATCTGTATTTCTGTACGGTACAAGGAGCCCTAGACTCCAACCGTAAATGGAGAAGGTTTGGAACAAGCTTACGCAAAGATAGATCGACCAAAGAATTTGCGTCAAGCCAAATCCCCAATTGCAGAACGTCTACAAGAAATAAAATAAAATAAGAGTAAGCAAAAAATAAAAGGTAGAATAACATAAAAAAGGAGATACATAATGCAAACAGAAAATGAGATGCCACAAAAAACCATCAAAACGGCCCAAGAGATACTACCAAATCAGGCAAAACACGATAAAATAGCAAACGCGGCGCAAAAACAATTTAGCCCAGAACACGTACGGTCAAAACGACGATGCCAAATAAGGCAAAAGGTGCAAAACAAACGTAGGTCAAACTACTGACCAAAATGACACTGCCAAATCAGACAAAACACAACAAGGTTAGACTAAAAGATCAGCAACGACAAGGTGAGGAGCAGAGCTGAAAGAAAAGAGACATGTATGGTAAACAAGGATGACACCTAAAATCTACCCGTAAGGCTAACATTCTGAATCTCGGGCAACCACTGAAAATCGAGGGACGCGCCTTGTAAATTTGCCTCTGGCCGGGACCTTCCAACAAGAGGTCTTCTATACAAGGAAGCTCAAACACTACCTTAACATAAGACTTGAACTGAGAAGAGCTGTCATGCAAAAAGGGCCAAAAATAGGCCGAAGGCCACTGTGGGACGATCAAAGTGCTGTAACCAGAGCAAGACGAGAGAGCTCTAACAGAAGGGACGATGGCACTCACAGGAGGGCAGACCCAATTGTTCTCGTCTCGCCAATCCTGGGCCAAGGCGTCTACGCCGCTGCAGCCGGGGGAGGAAAATTTAGAATTGAACCTAGGAACCTGGGCGTTGTAATGCGACGCAAACCGATCGATTGTGTGAGGGCCCCATTTGGCGTCAATCACACGAAATACAGAAGGGTTGACGGACCAGTCATCTTTGTCAACAAATCTGCTGAGAAAATCTGCCCTTTCATTAAGCGAACTTGGGATCCATTGCGCTTCCAGAATGATGCTGTTAACAAGACAGAGATTAAAAATGTCCATGGCCAGAGCCTGGAGATTAATTTTGAAGCTTCCGATAGCAACAATTCTGGCGGCGCCCTGATTATCAGTAAATATTTTAACTCTCTTGTGTTTCAATTAAGCAACGTAGGAAAGCAATAAGAAATAAATAGCTTTCAGTTCGCGGAACGTAGAACTTTGGCCGATATCCTCGGGTTCCCGCATGCCGCTGAAAACAGTGCCGTCTAGAGAAGCTGAAAAGCAGGCACTACTGAGGCCGAAAGGAAGAACTGCAGAGGTAAAATATCTAACAACGCCGGAAAAGGGCCAAGCAAAACCGAGATACTTTTGGTGATCAAGAAAAATATCAACATGATGGTAGCCGGACTTAAGAACCCAGGTGAAAAACTAGTGTCCTTCATCCAGAACTTGGGGTAGCGAGCGCAAGTCTTCATATTTGAATCTGGGTTTAACTAAACAATTGTTGACGCGCCTAAGATCAATAACGAGACGCAACTTCTTTCCTTCCGCGACTGTTAAAGGATTCATGCAGAACGGAGGAACGACATGCTCAACAATACAACCATTACTAAGTAGCTCGGTAATTGCTTCGGCCACAAATTCTTGATGCTGAAGCGCAGATCTGTCGTTCTTTAGAAAGCACTGTGAAGGATACTGGGCAAAAGGTAACCTGCAATCACGCCTAATCATGTCAAGCACAAAATCTGAAGCATCTAATGCTTCAACCCAGAAATTAAGCGAGGACTTCAAGCGACCTTTGACGCCATTGCTACCGCCTTTAACACTAAACTCGTCGCTAAAAAATCACACTCAACCTGCTGGGCATCACTATCATCAGTGGTCAACAAACCGCGATCTAGTCAATCACGGCGAGCGCTTCTCTCTGAAGTGTCCGCAGGTTTCGTGCATGTCAAGCTCAAATGACCAAAACCTCCACACTGAAAAAAGGGGAACACACAATTGCGTGAAAATAAAATCCACAGCATAAAAATAAAAGAACAGTGGAGTAGCGTGTGGCGTTAGCAGACCCGAAGGAAGATCACTAACTGACAACAGCTATATATACGACACGCAATTAACGCGTATCGCGTAACTGAAACACCTAATTGTCTAACACAATAAGACTGTCAAATACAGAACGTGCAGAAAACAAATATCTGCTAAACTACGTACCGCAGATATTTCGATATTCTGCACTAACCCAGTCTATAGAACGAAATACTGCAAAACAGCAATTCATGGAGAATATTGGATTATGGCCTGAGTGTAACGCCATAATCGACGAAGTAAAAACAAGGCACCAAACGACGAGCTGGTCTAGCTTCCGAACGAGAAGCCAAATCCTTAGACGAGAATCTCGACGAAGAAGCCGCGCAGTGTACAGCGGAGGAACCGCTTCCTTTCTCGTCAGAACGGACATGACGACGCTTCTCTTTATTGATTTTTCTCTCGGCCCGGTAAATTCTCTTCTCGTCGTCGGAGTCAGAGGTGAGTTCGTCAGACAAATATTCGTTAACGGTCGCCCATCCAAATTCGCTCTTGTCAACTAGCTTAATCAGTGGCTTCAACACGCCTGGAAACTAATTCAGTACCTGACTCCTGGGCAACTTTAACTTTCTCGTACAATTTCTGCTTGAGAGCGTCGGATGCTTCGTCTAGTTTATCCATCACCGGAGGGAATGATCCAACTGCTGCTGGTTTCCTTTCCTTTTGCAGGTATATTGTTCGCGCCGAGCTCTCTTGGCTGCTTGTTCAACGGAAGAGCTGTTCTCCACGGAAAATCGCTTCGCGAAATCGCTAAGCCGAGATTCAATAACCTATAGTGAGGTTATCGGTTAAAGAACCCATCGATTCAGAAACGGCAGACCGTATAACAGCACCGACAGAAGGATCTCAAACTCCATCGTTCCGATTAGAACGTGCCCTAGCTTCCTCAGAGTTGCTCATGCTAAAGAACGGTGGAGTGAGCGTGTGGCGTTAGCAGACCCGAAGGAAGATCACGAACTGACAACAGCTATATATACGACATGCAATTAACGCGTATTGCGTAACTGAAACACCTAATTGTATAACACACTAAGAATACCAAATACAGAACGTGCAGAAAACAAATACCTGCTAAACTACGTACCGCAGATATTTTGATATTATCTGATGAGAACAAGTTCCTTGACCGTGTTTTTTCTAAGAACAACTATAACGAAGACTTCATCCGACGAAACACTCACCGACCTTAACCACTACTACTACCGAACCTAACGACAACGCAAATCCTACGACCACAACAACTATACCGCACATAACGGGCATATCTGAGAACATCTCGCGCATCCTACAACCATTCAATATCCGCGTCGCTCACAAACACATTACCACACCACGTCTGTTACTGACTAACGTCAAAGACCCAGACGAACCGAGGCACAGACAGGGAGCAGTTTATAAGATCAACTGCTCCGACTGGCACGCCTCCTACATCGGTGAGACTGGCAGAAACCTCACAACCAGACTGACTGAACACAAACGAGCTACGAGGAAAGGCGATGTCAACAGTCACATTGCTGAACAACAGCGACTTACGAACCACACTATTGACTAGGACTCTGCGCAATGCCTAACCCACAACACCAACTACTTTCAACGACTGACTCTGGAAAGCTAACTTGGAATAGACTTCCCTCAACAGGTGTCAACCACTATCTGCACCATATAAACGACTCATCCATGACATTAACATTACAAACGAACCGAACAGAACGACCTAACTTTACTAACGGATCGAGACTGATCAATCACGACCGACCTAAGCCACTTGAGTCTTACAGCCAAGAACATCGCGGCAAAACTGATCAATCAGTTATACAAACCGGACTAAGAGCATTCGACTGACAACAACTATTCACTTGACTCCGAAGATGACTTCTGCTCAGGTTGTCGAAACGTCAGTCACCACTACCGACAACAGTCCTTCTCAGGACTACACTCACCCGGACAATCAAACTACACTGTTACGAGAAATTCTCTCTTGGTCACTCATGGGAGTTAGAGGGTTAACATCAATATCCATATTCTCTAGACTCTTCACTATAAATTTTCATTGGTACTGATGAGAAGAATTCATATTGTAATCAGAGCATCTTGAGTTGACAATCTTTTTGTTATTCTCATGTTCTCAATGAATGATTCAGCAATATTACTGGAGGGAGAACTTACATGCTGACTACCCTTAGGGCTGATAGGGTTAATTAAGCAGAGAGAACCAAATTAGTTTATTGTTTCACATGTAAGCCATGCTGTGTTCTCTATTTACCAGGACATGTGTACAAAACATGGTCCAAAATTAACATAAACATCACTTATTTCAAAGCCAAGAGTATGATTCCAAATTAGAGTAATATTTGAATTAAGTATTGGCAATTGTAAAGTTCTGAGAACTGTATTTACTAATTAAAAAACAAACTCACAGTCTGATTAAATTGGTATTCATAAACAAAGTAATAGCTAGCTCACCTGATTGTAACATAAAGAAAACCCAGCAAGGACCCAACCAGTCTGTTGTCAGTTGTCAGACAGACCAAAAATGGGTAGAACAGCATCCCGTATACAAGAACAGTGACAATATTCTGAAAAACTAATTAAAACAGAGTAATTAATTTTTTGTTCTGCTAGCTCATGTTGAGTGTTGGACTGATGTGCAGGTAAAGGGGGTAAATTTCTAAAGAAACTACGGTGCTGCATCAGTGGGAGAGTATAACAGGGTAATTTTGTATTATTGACTGAGTTGATAATGTAAATGGAATATGGTGATGAGAAAACAAGAATAAATTAGTTAAATGAAAAGCATTTGTTGATATTGTGGGGCTTAAGAGTACCTGTTTGAAAGATAACTTTTGTTCTGGAGTTTTGCAGCCCTCTGAACAGCCAAGAAGTAGAGAAAGGCAACAAAGTACCATATGCTGCCCAAAATGATCAGGAAGATTAAAGTATCTAGCGACTGGTTTGGATGTGTCCTTGTCATTTCTTTTTACATCATGAAGGTGTTATGGCTGTGTTGGTAGTTGAGGGTTCAAGCCCCAGACCACAACAACACTCAGGGTCTTTAAATAACTTAGGAGAATGTGCTGCCTTTGATACAACATCTGCAAATGGTTAGACGTTCTAGTCTTCTTGGCCAAGGATGATAAACCACATGCCCCATACTCTCCTACATCTTCTCTGTACTGGTTATAAGCAGGGGACATTAACCCTTTAACTCCCAGAAATGATTAACAGGTAACTTCTCCCTATAATATCCTTACATTATCCAGCAAACAGGTGATGAGAATACCCAAACTTCTCAGGTAGAGGATGTTTTCTTGATCTAACAGAAAAGTTCTCATAACTGATGAATATGCAATTGTGCAGCAGCTAGAGGGGAGAATTAATTAATAATCAGATCTTGAGAGTTAAAGAGTAAAACAACTGACAGACTTCAACAAAGAGTAACAAATGTGGCTCCCAGTGTGGTCATCTGGCATTGTTATCATTTATAGAGGCCCACATTTACACCTGCTTTTAAAAGCCAAACTGAGCCAGCCTGTCTAAATATTCCAAATAAATAACTTAATATCTAGTTCACACCCTCATCACAAATGGAGGCTAGGTGCCCAAGTGGCCCAGGAGCTGCAACTACGGTCACACCCCAAGGTGCTAGAACACCAACTGGCCTATCCAACGCTAAACTTGCAGCTTGCTGAAATAGACCCCGCAAAAGAAATCCTGCAATTAGGGTTGAGGGGGGGAGGGGGGGGGGGAAACGCCAAGAACTGCTATCCTCAAGGACAAGAATCCCATGCTACAGAACAGCAAACACAACACAGGCACATGGTGGAACAACACATGCACTGATAAGGTATACCGCTGGATGAGGATGGCCCCAGGGCCTTAACATCCAAAGGAGTACTGCTACAAACTCTGGAGAATGCAACAAATACTGCACGGATGCTAACAGCTGGCTAAGACACAAACCAAATGCCTGAAAACCCTGACAATGCATGTATTTCCTCTTAGTCATTTAAACTGTATGTTAAATTCTATATAACTATATTAAAATTTGTTCATAAACTAATATTGGCCCATGGCAACTGAGTTAACCTAGAGCTACTATAGTCTTTAAAATGATTTTAACAGTGAGAGAAAAAACAAAGTAAAACAAACAAACACTCAATTTGTTCAAAATCAGGTTGCTATGGTATGACCACTTACCCTACACCCATCCAGCTGGGTCAGGCATCTGAAAAATTCCATTTTTTGGTTGTAAAAACACATTCAGGCATGTGCTGGAAGTGGCTCCAAACATAACAGCAAAAGTGAATCTGTTGCCAAAATCACTTAAAAAATCAAATGGTCTGAAAGGAAACCACACAAACATTAGTAAAACAGTGGCACCCAAATAGCTCACTTAAAAATACACTTCCATTAAATCCATTCAATAAGGGAATGCCTCATATTATTGCACTGTGTTTATATTCTAACTGAAATGGCACAATTTGCTGATAGATTAGGGGTGGGGGAGTTTTTGGGTCAATTTTTGCTACGTATGTACCGCTGGCCTCTCAGAAAACCTGCCCCATTATAGTCTACCCTGTGGCCAATTATACACCTCATCTGCTAAGTGAGTCACTTTACGGGAAGTGTTATTTTTGTGATCCCATCTACCCATGTGCTGCTGGCCTCTTGGAATACCTGCCCCATTATAGTCTATTCTGTGGCCAACTATACACCCCATCTGCTAAGTTAGTCACTTTACCAGAAATGTAATTTTTGCAATCCCAACTTAGTCAATTTCTGTTTATAGATGCATCTATGTAGCTAAAACCAAGTCTTTTAAGTAGGTCATGATCCTAAAATGAAGCAACACATTTGTTTATGTGAATTTAGAACACTTTACTTTTCACCTTCAGTACATTAACATTCTGGTAAATTTCAATCTAGTTTGAACCTTCCTGTTTGTAAATCCTCACTTTGATGTATGAAAATTTTCCAAATCATGAAAATGTGTTAGTCCCCACTCTAGTAACTCTATTGAAAATGTAACCCCATTGTAGCTAAGTGAGTCATGAAAATGCCACCCAAACCAGCAGCACATCCCCATTGCCTTTATTACAAGTAGCAACTTTTTCGGAAAAAAGTACATGTAGCTGGGTGTCACTTAGACTTAGTACAACTACTTAAAAGTACACAATGATCAGACTATATATTGCTGACCTTCAATATAAGCCTTGATCTTTTTGCTCTATTAATCAATTCTGTTCTCACATCAACAAACCAGGAAATCCAATGTAGTTTTGAAGTCCAGATTTGACCCTTTGCTTGACAAAGGCCAGTATAAAAATAATGACAAGCTTAAAAATAATAATACATGTAATAATTATTATCAATTGTACAAGCATGAAATTACAGATGAAGTTTAGCAAAACATCATCACCTTTCAAACTTTCTGACTTAAAACAGGGCAGAGAGGGACACTTATTCCAGAGGGGGTGCTTATTGGAAGGAGGGTGCTAAACCAAATCATTGCAACATGTAAACAATTTTGTCATCATTATTTGATGAAAGTTACTTCAGTATTTCAGTTACAGCTGGAGGAAGACAGCAGAGATCAAACAGACTCTCCTAGATAACTGTGGGGCACCTAAATTGATAATTTTTGAGATTGAAAAACCTTCAACATGTCTCAAAAAAAAAATTTACAAAGACATCTTTGGATTACAATAAATTTGTTACATTTTTAGGATTCAAGAAGAAAAAACAGGTGTTACAGAACACTAAAAATTCATGCTTGAATGGAAAATTTAAAAGTTAATACATGATAATACAGACAAAGGCAGGATCAAGCTGTCTGACACAGACACCCCAACTTTCAGCCCACATTCCCCTCACTTTCAGTTCCAAATTCAAGTGTGAAGTGAGAAAGACAACAGCACTTACTTCAAGAAAGATAAAAGAAAAATTAAAAACAGCAAATTAAAAGAATTCCTCATACAATTTCAAAAGAAATAACTAAACATGGCCTACTCTAATTTAAGACACGGAACAGAACGAAAAGGAAGATCTGTAATTTTAGAAAGAGAGATTTTCAATTTGCAAAGCAAGAATCCGTGTGGAACTCCACTGTACGGAAGGATGAGAGGGTCCATTAGAAACCTCAAAGCTGTCGAAAAAATCATCCACAATCGCAAAACCGCAAAACCGCAAAAAAAAACTCGACCAGAACCGAAAACCGCATGCAAAACAGTCAAAACCGATAAATGTTCACATCCCAGTTCTCAAAACCCTAATCGATCCGATACGGTGTTGACAAGTGGAGTATACAGAGGTTTCGCGGCTGTTCAAGATCATTGGGGGAGCATAATGGCCGCTTGGATCGAAGAGAAAACGGAATCCAAATGGGACAATCCGAAAACTTCATCGGAAACCAAATCCGTAGCCCATTAGACAGGTATTCTTGACGAAAACCGAAAACCAAATGCTAAAGAACGGAAAATCCGCAAACAGCAACGACCACCCAATCCGAAAACCTAGATTCTTTAACACAAAAACCGATCTTAAAAAAATATAGAAAATCCCAATGCCCCCCTTAAGGATGAATCGGTCAGTTCAGTCTACAGATCATTCAAATTTCATGCTGCGAATTTGAATATTTTTCAATAAACAAGCGATATACCTGGAGGAGACGACAACACAACGAAACAACCAAATCGCAGAACGAGCGTGTGCGAATCTAGAGTGCATTCATTCATGAAAATATCGACATCCACAACAGGGTACGTACCCCTGAGAAGTGTTCTCCGTGCATCTATTTGCCGTTTTCAAAGCAATCTATTGGGGCAACTGCACGTGGTTCAACCTCCCTCGTCTGACAGCTCCTTTCATTTAGTTCCGTGAATATTAGAATTAGATTATGTTTATCTTAGGACCTATTGTCTTTCTCGGAAGAGAAATAGCAGGAGTCTGGAAGCTAGCTAGGTAGGTTGACCGCTGACTAAAGTACAGGAGATTTTCAAAGATGGCTCGAAATGTCGGAGAGTGTAGAAAAAAGAAAGTAGAAAACAAGCGTGGCAAAGATTCTACGGCGAAGTCATCATCGAAACAAGATGTAGGAAAGAGCCGAACGAAAAGCAAGGTAAGTAATGGATAATGTTGTAGCATTTGAGAGAGAAAGATATTTGTGTTATCAGGGAATTCGACTTCAGAGGTGACGGAGAAAAGATCTGCCCATATCACAGCCCCTGTCTGACTGAATCGATCATCATGTACATGTGTGTCTATATACTCGGGTGCAATTCACATTCCCATCTATCTTCTCGGGGAGGGGGGCGGGAGAACACCTTATTTCGCCAAAATTGGTATTTATTGCCATACACGGTAAAATTTCCTTTGTCTTGAATCTTTTATTCAGCACATGGTAGATAATTTTACAACATGTTTTAACCAAGAGTTTCATTCCACTACATATATCTAACCCAAGGTAACTTTTTGGACTGGAATGTGAGAAATGGGGTGGTACTGTGTGTTAACTAACTTTGTAGGTGTAATTTTCAATAGTCTGTTGGAGTATGTCAGGTTAGGTGAGTGAGGCTGATAAGTTACAGTGTTTTGCCTTTTTTTTTTTTTTTTTACCTTAAACAGGGTTGTAAAATGAAGCAATTTTGTCTTCGTCCTTAAATTCCCAAGATCTGTTTGCTAATTCTCCCCTCTAGTTGTTGCACATTTCCTTGTACAGTTGTGATCCTGAAAGGCAGAACGGACTCTAACAGAAAACTGTTTGAATGGCAAACTGCACGGATGACGAACAGTTAACAAATGGTCCTTGAAACATTCAAACGGTTTACCTGACCATTCAAATGGGCGAATAAATTGTTTGAACACTCAAACAGATGTCACAATACTTCAAACAGATTATATGCAAATGACATTATATGCAAACCGTTCAAATGGTTTGTCGAACACTTTGAACAGATTTTTTTAGTCATTCAAATGGATAACGAATGGTTTACCCATTTGAACAGATAACTGTTAGTGTCTGTTTTGCCTTTCATGGTCACATTTGTCATAGGAATTTTTTGTTAGATCAAGATCACAACTTTTTCATTACTCTTTTGTTGGATATTGTATGGATATTCAAGGGAGAAGTTACATGTTAATTATGTCTGAGAGTTTAAGGGTTAAACAGTGTGTTGTGATACACTGCCACCTAAATTTCACTCAAGTTCAAAATATCTTGGATATTAGCATTCCCTACTAATTTATTCAAACTGCAGCTTACTAAGTCTGCAGAGCAGTTGCAGTATGTAATACTAATGCTTATTTCAAGATTTTGACAAGTACTGGTTAATTTTCATTTATTCAGACTGAAGGGAAAATGAAATTGTTGATTAACTTGAAAGGTAATTGATAAAGAAACCTTGAGACTTCACCTTACCCAGACTATTTTTTCCACAAGCCTGGTATAACCAACACACCAGCAATAAGTTTTAGAGGAGTTTAATTTCCTGAAAATTTGACTGAACTCTTCTATTTACATGCCATTGCCAGTGGTTTCAAAGTAAAGTATTACAAACATAATACATCAAGAACAGAACAACTAATTACAAGATTGGAAATAACATAGGAAATACAAATAACAAGAAATAATATTATGTATAACATAGACAATACTAATAACATAGCAAACATGGGTCACTCGATGAAAGAGCAAGTAACCTGACAATTTTGGAATAAAGCTGGCATAAGAACGTACTTGCAATTACCTTTTAACTGGAGCTTACACCTTTTTCATTTGCATGATCCATGTGAAAGTTAAAATTATATGGATAGCTGTGCAGAGGGGGATTAGTTTCTACACCTGGTGTCTTCTCTTGATTTTCAGAGCTGAAAGAAAATGTCTTGTTAGAAAGTTGTGCTCTGAGGAACAACACCCCCCTTGATCTTATCCAATTTTGTTCTTTGTTGTCACTGAACCATGCTGATCTGATGTTTGTGTGAATGAAAATATGTAATTGTTAATTTACTGGGCAGGGTTTATCAAGCAGTGAAGATGATGACACTGCCTGGAAACAAAAAACCAAAAGAAAATCAGAAGAGGAAGAAGAAAGGAAAAAATATTATTGACTCAGGTAATGTTTTAGGGTGAACATGAACAGATTTTGAGGCTCTACACAAACTGTTACACCAGTTGGTAGTTATGCTATGCAGTGTCCTTGTCAATTCCCAATGCAATTTGCATCATTATCAAAACATTGTGTTAAAAGATTCACATAATTATATGTATAACATCACAATTATATCCTGACCTTATATCTGAATTAATCTTACATCTCTGTTAGATTCTGATGGAGATCCTTTTCCTCCAAAAATAAGGTATGTGATTTGTTTCTTGAATTTGGTTCCATTTTATACAGTTGTAGTTAAACTCTTTGGTCCTAATATCAGCCCTAAATCAAGAGTCGAGGAAATGACCACCAACTTTCAAAGCTCTTGATTATTCAACAAATTCTCCTTGTCAGCACCTTAGAAATGCATAGAGAACAGTATGGAGAATATGGATACTGATGTCAGGTTGTATTCAGTACCTGGTTCTCTTTCACTCATCTCTGTTTCAGAAAAGCCACATCAGTAAAGAAGGAGGAGAGTTCAAAAGCTAAGAAAAATAGAAGACCAATCAGTTTGGACTCAGGTAAGGAAATGATGTGCACTTATTGGGGGTGCCCTATACTTTTTATGTGAAGGGTGATTGGCAGATTTTATTTTCATGGGAATCATGATTTCAGTTTTTTTTTGGTTATTTTTTTGTTTTTGTTTTGTGAGTTGTGATTAAAGATGATAAGATCTTTCCATGTCCTTGTGAACAATTTTTTCTTTATTTAAACATAACCTGTGAATGAAGAATTAAATGAATTAAATGTGATTGGCAAACTGTTTTGTTTAAAATTGACAATTTTTTGGGTTATTTCGAAGAGCCAAACTTGTAGGATTAACAGCTTTGTTAATGGGTAAGAAAGAGTGACAATTTTAATTTGTGAATTTGGTTTAATTCTCTTTTTTTTGTTGGTTTCATTTATATTCAAAATGTGATCATCTTGAATTTCATGTGAACATGGAAGAATTATGAATATTTATCATGATGCATGAAAAGGCCTACTATTTTATGCAACTAAGTTCTACAAAAGAGTTTGGGGGACTCTCATTATTGATGGAGTGGGAGGGATGGAGAGGGAAAATATTGGAGGTGAGCTTGAGGTAAAATGAGGTCAGTTTTTACATCACCTGATCTTTAACCTTACTTATGCATTTGCTTGCCAAAGAAAACAAATCCATCCACTTCATCCTGGGTTCGGCACACTTACCATTAGACCACTCTGCCTTGAATAGGTTTGAATATCATAGCCCTTGACTTACATTGTGATGTGGTTTCTACAGATGAGGAAGAAGTTGTGCCCAGCAACTTAAAAAAGTCTGCCAAACAGACAGAAAACGTACATGTAGCTTCTAAAGAGGTCCAGCATGTTAAAGAGAGGTATCATTCATCATTCTCTTTCATTATATTTGACATTTCAGCACCAAACCATGGTGTTCATTTAGAACATACGATATTGCTGTGGAGAAGCATCTGGCTTCTTCTAAACATATCCAGCTAAATTTTGTTTGCCTGTTTGTCTGTTTGTTTGTTTTTTTTCCTCTCTTCCATCAGGCATTGAGAATGTTAGATCTGTCATAGGACACTGCTCTTATGCTGATACATTTAACCCTTTGACCCCTAACAGTGACGAGCATCTAATTTCTCCTTACAATATCATCCTTGAATCAAACATTAAGGTCATGAGAGTAAAGGAAATGATCACCAACTAAGCTCTTGTTTGTTGAACAAACTCTCCTTGTCAGCACCTTAGGAAATGTATAGAGAACAGTATGGAGAATGTGTATACTGAGTTTTAGTTGTTAAGGGTTGAAAACAAAAAACAAACAGACAACAGCAAAATAATAAAGACAGTGGTACACAGCCATCAAGAGTGAATTTAACGTAACATTGTTGTAGAACTAAAATGTTTAACACATGGATTGTTATTCTTGCTTCAGTCCAGCCAAACCTAAAGAGAAAAAAGAAACTTCTGCTTTTGATTTCTTTGATTCTACTTCAGTTGAAAGGGAATCCAGGAAAACATTTGCCAAAAGAGAAAACAGGTGAATAACTAACTACTCTTGTTTTGCCCACAATTTTTTTTTAAAGAAAAAATCAGGCATCCTGTGTATTGTAAACAGTACTTCATGCATCATGCATTGAACAGGGAAAACTTTAAACCTCACCATACCTTGCCTTTCTGTAAAATTCATGCATCATGTGTTAATTTTTGGCTTAATCAAGCATTCCTTGTAGGTAGATGCTCTGCCAATCTGTTATAGTTGTGTCAGAATGAACTACAGTGAACACATACCATGTCACAAAATTAATGGGTAGTGACCAATTGAGGAATAGTTTTGGCAAAAACGACACTATGGACCCCCTCCTTTGGCGTCTAAGATATTTAATAACACAGCCACATGTGCCTGATGAGTTTTAGTATCCTCATTACCTATTGGCTGGATAATGTATGGATATTCTCGGGAGAAGTTACATGTTAATTTCTTCTGGTAGTTATATTATTATTATCTCTCAAAGCTCTTTATAGTTTGTTTTCCATCCTTTTGAATTTTAATGAGAGATGCAAGACAAAGGAAAATGAAGATTATTAGAATTAAGGCTTATTTGGAAAATCTGCAGATACAGTTTATTGAAAAAATGCTTTGATTAACTCTTTTACTTCCAAGATCTCAGTAGTAATTCTCCTTAATGTCTGTTATACAAGTCTTGTAATGTTAGTGTAATGAATTTGGTCTTGGATCAACTAATAATCCCCTCACCGATATTTGTCTTTATTCTCATCATTTGTCTGCATGATATTGTATTGATATTGTAAGGAGAAGTTCTGTCTTAGTCACTCATGGGAGTTAAAGGGTTAAACAAAAAAATGTATTTTATCCTTTTACTCTCAGTTGTTGTTCAAATGTTGGTTCAATGTCAGTATCTGAGAAACTGCCTACCTACCCCTCCCCTAAGCCAACATTAACCCTTACTTGCTATCAGTTGATGGTTTTTTGGGTTAGGGGAGGGGTAGGTGCACACATGCTTATATTGACCCCAAATGTTTATAGTGTAGCTACAGAGTTTTTTACTTTTTTGCCATTTATAACTTTTCAGTTTGGACAGTGTTAAGAGGCCTTCAAGGGAAGAATTAATTATTTGTCTGCTCATCTTGAATCATTCATGCACATGATAATTTATTTTTTAGGGAGCATAAAACTGTTTGGATGGACTGACATTATTTTGTTATTACAGGAGTCTTGGAAAGTATTGAGAGAGAGGAAGCTGCTGATTTGATAAAAAGATATGGTGGAAAAGTTACCCAATCAGTGAGCAAGAAAACAAGTTATTTCATGGGATGGGATCCTGGAGAGAGTAAACTTTCTAAGGTACTGTACATTGTAATGCACAGCTCAAAACAGGAAAAAAAAATGAAAAAGCACTTGAACACCAACACATAAGCTGCACCTTTTTCCCTAAATTTTCATAACAAATCTGGGGTGTGGCTTACTGAGAAAATACCAGGGAAACTTGCCACAAATTTGCATAAATAAACACAATTCATTGATGATGACAATGAGATTTCATAGGAGCCATAGACTATAATATAATTTGTTCATCTTCATTTCCTTTCTTCCATCTATGGGTTTGTCCATTTTTCCATCCTGTCATTTGTCTAGCAGTCTGTCTGTGTCTGTCTAAAGGGGGTAAATTTTTCAATAAACTGTGGTGCTGCATCATTGGGGAGATTAACAAGATAATGTGGTTTTATCAACTGAGTTGAGAATTTAGATTGGCCTTCCTAAATAGTTTCTAAAACTAATGTTTCAAGCACTAGCCATCTGCTCTGACAAAGGGCTAAAGCTTGCAATGTCAGCGTTAGAAACTCTTTTTGGTGGCAAATTTACAGTATCACTCAGTTTGTCTGTCTGTCTGTCTGTCTGTCTGTCTGCTCTTTTGTGTGTGTACATTCATCCAATTACTCTCTTTCTATCTGTCACTCACTCTGCTCTTTCCCTCTGTCCATTCACCCACACCTCAGTTTTACCCTAAATTCCACCTTTGAGTTCATCTGTTGGTTCATGTATCTGTTCCTCCACCTGTAGACTTGTTTGTGTCACTTAAACTGAATTACAAGACAGTATAGTTTTTGTTTAATCCTTTACACCCTAACATCAGTATGCATATTCTCCATACTGTTCTCTATACATTTCCTAATGTGCTGGTAAGGAGAATTTGTTGAACAATCAAGAGGTTCATCAGTTGATGATCATTTGCTGCATTCTCATAACCTTAATGTTTGTTTCAGGGCTGATATTGAAAGGAGAAATTAGATGTTAGTCAGTCTCAGGGATTAAAGGGTTCATCTACATAAGATTTTGACAGTAAAGGTCATTTTGTTTTTGTGCAGGAGAACCAAGTGTGTTATGGGTGGACAAATATCGGCCTCACGCAGTGAAGCAGATTATTGGTCAGCAGGGTGATAAGAGCAACATGAGAAAGTTGATGAACTGGCTGAGAGACTGGGGAAAAAATTGAAAGAACTCAGCCTCTTAATGTGAGTACAAGTGTATATGATTGTCAAGATGCTTTTCCCTCACGAGTGATTTAAAAAACGGACAACCGCGAAGCGGGAGTCCGATTTGTTAATCACGAGTTAATCTACTCTTAATCAAAACTATAACAAAATTCTCGAACGTGATTGGTTATCACCAGCCCGATTTGAGCACTAATGGGACAGTGTACGCGACATGTTTGTAATTGGACAGTGTAATAGGACAGTTAAAGGGACTGTTAACACGTCATGCCTTTGTGAGTGGACAGAACGCATCATGAGCGCGCGCTGTTGTCTCGAATTTCGCTGAGTTAACTGTTGATATTTTTATGAAAACGTAAAACCGATGTCTAGTTTCTTTCTTAAATTTTGTCATAGTTTTGATTAATTGGTAACAGGACTTCGTGTCGTCAAATTCTGTCTGTAATCATTCTGGGGATTATCAAATCGGACTCGCGCTTCGCGCTCGTCCGATTTTGTTAATCATTCGGATGATTATAGACCGAACTGGACTCCACTCGGTCCTATTACCTTTATTAATCAGACAGAATTGGATGACACGAAGTCCTTTTACCAATTGTAAAAACAACAATTAAACGAGAGACAACAGCGCGCGCACATGACGCATTCTGTCCACTAACTCAACTATCCTCCCTAAACTTAGATTCTTTTATTTTTCAATTAAGGCAGTGAGCATTGGATTCCCAGGGAGTTTTCAGATACATAAAAACGCTGATACGCAGAAACCAGTATGCTACCGATGAAATCTTTTTCAAGAGTCTTCTTTTTAAAGCAGGATGAATCAAAAGACGGCCAAAGTCAAGTTTAACAAGAGAACGGATTTCCTTTGATTCAAAAGTTGACTTTTTGCTTGTCTGAACTGCTTTTACGACCTTCATCTTTGATATCCTACTGAAACTGTTGTTTTTCTCATATGTCTTGAAATTATCATGACTAGCTATGTAAAAAATTATTTTTTAATCTAAGTATTATCTACTAAGCGAATTTGGGCGTTGCATTGACGTCGAAGTTGAAATGTCTTGAAAATGTTTCCCAGGGTTTTTTTCAGACTTTTTCTCAATTTTTTTTTTCTCGTCAGTAATGTAAAGTTGTTACAGCCATGTGCGTGTGTGGAGAATTTCCATGGAAATTGGAAAATAATCAGTTGTCCGATTGCTCGATTATCTTAGTTTATGTAAGATGGAAATTGTGATTAAATTTTCAACGATTTTTACCCAGTCATTGGTACTTAAAGTTAGTTTCTGCCAATCAGAATTTGGTTTATCTGGACTTAAAATTACAGATTTTGGCCGTAATGGCTAGGATTTAGTCGTGGTATTTGTTAATATTCTGAGATTTCTCCTTTAATTTTGAATGCGATGAATTGTGTTACTTTTTTACAAGAAGAATGATGCATTTCAAGTATATTGTTTGAATTAGTCGTCCGAAGGCAAAACGAGAAGTTTTATTCTAATTTTAGTTACTGGCCTACAAAGCATTGAGAGAAACTCAGAACGAGCTAGAAAATTGGAGCCAAATGAATTTATTTAGTTTCTTCGATTAGACTGTTTACCTGTTATCTAAGTACAATAAACTCACATTTGAATGTCAAACAATGAAACAAGTCGCTTGGTATTTTGTTCGAATGGAAGTGGAAATCAATAAAAAAGGGAAGAAAATTTCTGCATCAACCTGCGTAAGCCATTTCTTGTCGTTTGAAGTAGTGAGTGCGGCTATGTCTTGTTCGCTTGATAACATTTGCCCATTTCTTTCAATAGGTTTACTGAATGAGGGATAAACTTCGATATTTTCTGACCCTATAACTGCAATATTGATCATTGGCAGCCATCGCTTAGGGTGTCACGCGATGCATATCTTTAGCACGTTATGTGACAGATAGGATGTTTTGTCACATCTTGTCGTTTGAAGTAGTGAGCGCACCTATGTCTCATTCGCTCAACCTCTTCACATTTCCTTGGATAGAGTTATCAAATGAGATACAAACGTCGATATTTTCAGATTTTATAACTGCTAGTTTCATAGGTAGCCGTTCCTTAGGATGTCACGCGACGCGCTTCTTTAGCATGTAAAGCGACATGATGTCTTGTCATATATCGTTGAAGAGGCTGGAAAAAAGAAATTACCTTTCACTCTGGGAGATGGTGCTTTATTCTGTTTATAGAAAGGGTCCTCATCATGGGAGGTACCCTAGGTCGGTGTGGTTTCTCGAGTGTAGGAAATATTGATATAATTTTTTTCCACGATTGCCCACCATCCAAACTTAATTAAAACAGCGTGCGACAAAAAAAAAATGTCTACTGACATAGCACCACAAGACGGATTCTCAAGAATCTCAGAGATACGGTTTCAGAAGGTTATGATAAGAATTTCCTTGAGAAATTGCTGGACTTAGGCTTCTTTCGTCTGCTTAGATTTTCTCTTCGTGCTTCATAATTCTACTCCATCAACCCACCTTATGGCAGTTTTTACTATATACCACACAGGTGAATAGAACTTTTCGCGTGGGCTGATTGGCTAATTCGGAATAAATAGTTGAACCTGTGTTTGGTGGTCGGTTGTCAAATTCCCGAATTTCTTTCCGGGATCCCCGCGCGGATAACAACGAGCACACAAAATTGTATGAAATCCGGTTTCGCCGGTAGTCCCACCAATCCAATATTCCACTTCCACCTCACTTTCCACTTCCGCTAATTTTTTTTTCCGAGAAAGATCAGAGGTCTTCACGATGTTGGAGCTCGCTAACTGTACCAAGTTGTCAGACAAGGGAGACTAGAATTGAATCACACTCAGTTTTCTTTGATTGATTCGAAAATGGAAGATAGTTCAGCGAACAACACTTTGCAGGAGTAATTACAACGCTGTCGATATTTTAATGAAAGCGCTTCAGAGCCGCGTGCAAGCCCTCTCTGAGCTCTTCTCATCTGGTTAATTGCGGTTTGTCAACCCTTCGCGCAAAGTCTCTCTAAGTTGTAGCTTGCGAGACAAGAATCTATTTTTTTTTTTGTTCCTGGAATTTTTTTTAGTCCATGTCTGAATCAAGACTTGTATCGAAATATGAATAATTCGCACGTGTGAAAGAAATTGTTCCGGTATTTGCCTTCGCTAAACAATTGTGTACTAAATGCTCGCAACTGACTGTTAACTACGTATTCGTTCTTGCCGCTGGTTCTTTGCTCTTCAGTTCCAAACTCACACTTCCCTTCCCAAATCTTTCCCCTTATCACGGAGCTCATTAATTCACAACATTTCTTTGACTTGTGCAACAACGTTTTACTTTTCTTATTGAATACTTTTGTAAAGATGCTCTGTAGTAACAGAGAATGATAATAATAATAATAATAATAATAATAATGATATTAATAAAACTCTGCTTAAAACACCTTGGCAAACCGTAATATTTATTTATTATATTTCTCTTGTTTTTTTTCCTATATATCTGACTTAAACTGCTTGCTCTTTTTTGTACATATAACTTTCCAGTACTTAATATATTATCTTAAAAAAAAAAGAAATATGAAATACAAATGTACCAAAGAAAATGAAGTAATATATAGAATTCATCATCGTTTACAGAGAAATCGACTTACAAAAAAGTCATCTTCGCTCGCAAATGCTACCATTTGCCTCTCTATGTTAGCCAGATAACATAATTCCCATTTCAGAAGCCAGCATGAAAATATTATGACTCAACAAAAAATTAAAACCAACAAAAAGAACAACGACACCCTGATATAGACTATATCATTCTGTGGTAATAAACGAGGGAGACCCTTACAATTTTTTTAACTTTACCCCGAACTGTAGAAGATATCCGTAAAGAGCGAACAGTCTTCTTCCTTCTAGGCAAGTTTCAAAGTTTTACACTGGATCGTCAAAGTTGACGCTTCCAAGAATCACAACAGACGCCGTGAAATGGCGGCCTTGGCGGCGGTACTTGACAAGAGATGGGTTGCATAGAAGAGTCACAGCTAGGAACCAGCGGTTGACAGCCTTTTGAGACATGTGCGGCTGAAGGGGATCCCTACTAATGCCTAAAAGACAAAGAGAGAGACACGGCAATATAAGCTGCGTTTGGTAGGTTTGACCGATTGTAGTGTCTAAAATGAAGAAGTATGCCACAAAAGGCAGCCACGAAGGCGAACAACAACAGTACACACAGTACACGTTTCTTTAATAATCTTCCCGCGCTCACACTTTCCCGGATGTATACTTTTACATAAACAACCGCTGTCCTAGTATACTACATTCCCTCTCTTTCTTCGCTCAGATGGTTGACCTCGAAAGACAGAAACATAACAAACTTCCACTTTGTTTAGATACCGTAAAAGTTCAATTCGATTCCAAATGTTCAAGACAAAAATCACGCTAAACATAAACATAGCCTTGGCCGTTCAGCTTATAAAACAACGTTTCAATGTCACTCATGTAATAACAACGAACAGTAATATGAAAATGCCAATGTCACTAGTTTTAGTACAGAACGTAGTCACTCAGAGCCTTTGGACGGCTCGTAATTCTGCCGGATCTTCTCACATGCTGCTCAGCTGTAGGTACAGTAGAAGGTACATCTTCTGGTGGTGATTCAGCCATTGGTACTTGATCCTCTGCCACAGGTGGCGTCTCAAATGACTTAGGTTCAGTCCGTGGTTTAGCGTCCTGTTGTGGCGTTTCCTGTTCTTCTGGATCTGGCATATTAAAGGACTTAATATGCTAATATTCTTTGGATACAAGATTTGAGCCATTGTCGGTACGCAGACCTTTAGGCAACCCATGTCTTGCAAATTGGGCATCCAAGCAATGAATGATGGTTTTGCTGGAAGTTGTTCGGATAACATCAACTTCTATCCACCGGCTGTAATAATCAACGAGAACTAACAAATGTTCTCCAGAAGGTAACGGACCCATTAGATCCACAGCTACTTCTTCCCATGGTTTGTTGGGTAACGGTGTTGACT